ACCAGTACCCGGTCGCGAGGTGGTTGCACTAGCGCGCAAATTCTTGGGCTTCGGTGGTGCAGCTGGTCGAGTAAGAGGGCGTTGCGTGGCTGGATAACTGGTAGGGGGAGCAGATTGCGGTAGACCTGCAGAGATGTTGGGGCCATCTCGGCGATCCGGGAGTGTCGTTGAAACTTTACGAGGAGTGTAGGCTGGGCCAGATGTATGAGAAGCGGGCAGCTGGCTGGAGGTGGTGGGTCTAATCTCACTCTGCTTTGCCTGCAAAGAAGAGGAAGTCTCCGTAAACCGTCCATACCCAGTAGCAGTCTTTGGAACAGTCGGTTTTTCAGACTCTCCAAGGAGTGACTGCACCTTATTCTGAATTGTACGAGAGCGAGCGCCATCGCCCATCGCTCTTACACCCCCGTCGCCCGTTTCAGCAACCCGACGCCGGTACTCAGCTGCGGCATTGGCGACTCGTTTCTCCTCTTGGGAGAGTCGGCGGCGTTCCAGCTCCCGGCGCATCTCTGGTGAGATGTCGTCCCGGTCCACATCTTCCAAGGCAATCTCGTCATATGGCAAGATACCCTCATCGGCTGAATCCGACGCCCCAATCAAACCATGCCGAGGCGGATCCTCTGCCGATGGCGAGGAGGATTTTTCTTGGTTGCCCGCCTCGAATCGGCGGAATGCGTCGCCGAATCGACTAGCAAATAGGTTCTTGCCTCCTGAAAGCGACAAGGTAGACAGGCTACCGCGCTTGTTGTGTTTGTGGCTACCGCTATAACGTTTCTCGCGCTTCCGATTGCTCTCTTGTTCTTCCATCGCGCGTAGGTAATCGACATCAGAAGAAATAGTCCGATCAGACTCGCGATCTACATCGGTACGCACTGGCCGCAGTGACGCTCCGCCCTCGTATTGCAAGCGGGACATATCTAGCGAAGACCGTGGGCTCTCGGAGTCACGCGGCATGTCATATCTCGCTCCAGGCTGTACTGACATCGGCCGAGCTTTTCCAGTGGCGGATTTAGAACGTCCCACGGGATCCTTGACCTCCAATGTCGAAGACCGTCTCAAGGCTTCCATCGATGGGCGCGCAGAGTTAGGCTGGCTGGATATACGGTCAGAGGGCAGCCGCGAGCTTCCTTCCACATTCAAGCTCGACATCGGAGAGGATGGCGCCTTATGCGGCCGTGTCACTCTTTGTTCTTCCTCGGTTGCAAATGGCTGGTTGGAAGATCGTTGTTCGTTATCAGACGAGGGGAATCGATAGATTGGGCGACTGGACAGCTTTGGCTCCGGCAAACGAGGTGTTTGGATGGGTGAAGTCATAGTGCCCGTCGACACCATCGTAGGCCGCTGGGGAGTTGGCTGGTACAAGGGAATAGCCTGCGGCGTGGGAGTTTCACGCAAATTAGGTGCTCGGACAGGAGAAGCCTGGGATGGTCGCTTATAGACTGGCTTCGGTGCACGTTCGGGCGAGACACGTCTGGCGAAAGCATCATCGGCCAAGGCGTTCGTGAGTCTTCGGGATAGATCCTCGTCCTCGGGCTGAGATTCTACTGTTGGCTCGAATTCAAACGTGTCCCCTTTCTCATGCAAAATGTCAAACTGGTCCAAGGAGGGGAATCGTTTTGACATCTCCTCTGCCGTCTTCTTTCGGGCTGCGCTCCCATCCAGGACTGCAAACGGATCATTTGACGAACCTTCAGCAGTGGCTCGATAGGGCGAAAGACTCGGTCTCTCGGAAGTAGGCTGGGACGACGGGGATTTTCCAGGTCGACCACGCCGCATAGGCGCAATCTCTGGAATTATCTCGGTCTCCTGCATCGGAGGAGAAAATACTGCGCCCACCGCAGGAGCTTCCGTGGGGGTAGGCGGTAGCTCTTGATACTTGCGCGCCTCCGAAAGAGAGCGGTTGGAATAGATCTAAGCGACAGTCAGTTTCAAGTTTGCACTAAAAGAGGCTTGTGGCAACATACGTCTTTGATAGGGACTTCCTTTCCTTGCATCTTGCACACCTCGCGCACGACTTCATATATGTTAGGACGATTGCGGGGATCTTCCTTCAACATAGAGCCTGTGCGGAACTGTCAGCTATCGATGATGGATTTTAGGCCAAAGAGAGATTCCAAACTTACCAATGAACAGCTTTAGCCGACTCGAAAATGAAGGGTAGGAAGGGTATTTGAAGGTCGCGTTGAGAATAGCCATCTGACCGACCTCTTCGAAGGGGGTTGTATAGTAGCATAGTTTGTACAAAAACACACCAAGTGCCCAGATATCGCTCTTTTCGTCAATCGGTTGCTTCCGATAGACATCAATCATCTCTGGGCTCCGGTACTGCAGCGTGGTATGCCGCTGCACATCATCTTCAATCAAGCGGCCCTCGGCGGCGGAAGTAGCAGCAGGACGAGGGGGTGCCGAGGATCCAAAATCACACAGTTTGTAAGTGGCAGAACTCCCCTTACCCGAGATCAAAACATTCTCAACTTTCAGATCACGATGAAGGAGAGGTGGTTTGAGATAATGCATGCACGCAACACCTTCGGCAACATCGGAGAAGATCTTAATGATCTCCGGCTCTGTCAACCGGTGTTGAAGCCGGGTGTTCATAAAGTCGATAAGACCACCACCCGCGCAGTACTCCATGACCAGGAACACCTCATATCCACCTCCGCGCAGCTGCGAGGCATGCGAATCAATATACTTCACAATGTGCCGGTGGCCCTTGAGCTTCTTCATCGTTTCCACCTCAGTGCGCATGTTGGCAAGGGCCGCCTTGTCAGGCACGGCCACCCGCTTCAGCACTGCGGTTTCGGACCCATTGACTGGCTGAGGCAATCGCACCACGTAGACATGAGCAAAACCACCTTCAGATAGGTACTTCTCCACTACGACACGATGGCCGCCGACTTGAATCTTGGTGCCCGGAAGCAAGGTCCCCGCAGGTGCTGTCACTGCGGCGACAGGATTGTAGACGGGGAATTGACGTGACGTCGCGGAATGACCGTGGTGGGATTGTGAGGACATAATGTCGGGATGCCCTTCAAGGGCGGGTCGTAAATCGGTACTCGGTGGCTAGCGACACGGCATAGAGAGTGAGACGGAGATTGGGGGGTTTCAAGGTTGGCGGAGATAGATGCCTGGGAGAGGGACTAAAAAGGACAGGTGGGCCGGGAGGCGGAGACACGGGGTAGTACCTGACTACCAGACTACCACAGGGGGGACACAAGAAGATTTGAAGCTGAGATAAAATAGAAAGAAGACGATCAACACCCCGATGGAGAGAGAGAGGGTATTGGAATCTCAAGTGGAAGGCCACCCAATCATCGGTTGCGGATCACGTTCTGCCGAGTCTTGCTCCTCACCATCGGGTTGTCTTTCACATTCACTTCTCCTGAACTACTTTCACTAAGTTGTCCCACTGCCAGACTAATATCCAGTGTTCAGCATGGCCTAAGTGGGCCAGGATGACCCCAAGTGCCTCTTATAAGGCCCGGCGTCCTCTACTACCTGGTCATGGTCCCGCACCTCATGCCCCGATCATGGGACATCTATCATGGCGCTTTCGCAATACCCGTGGACAGTGACCATGAGATATAGCTGCCTGCCTTTTTTGTGCCCTAAATCATGAGCACCAACCTTAGAGTCGAATTTTACCACACTCCCCACACTATCAGCTCTAATCCAGTGAACAAGCCTCGGTGGCTACCTCCTCCAACTCGAATATCTTGGACCCACTACGTTCCAACTATCTCCCCCAACCGCTTGACCGCAAGATCAACAAGGGTTTTCTAGCGATCCGTCCCCAGTGTTATATATGCTCGGGGCCAAAAACACTTGAGGGACATACTTGGGTCAAATGTTCTTTGCGCTGTTCCGCACCTTGAGATACATAGGGGTATAAGAGTACACATCAGCGGCAAAATCTTGTGTGAACTACATGAAGCTCGTATGGTATGGTTGCAAATGATATAAACATCCGGGGCACTCCGGGTCCTTATAATGTGCTGGGAAGAGGCTCAAGTTGTCCGAATGCGAATACGAATACGTCTTAACCACATGGTAGGGAAATAACCCCAAATTGACGTAGACTTTATATATAACAGTATGCGAGACAGTATATATCTTTGAGGCTAAAATATAGGCCTCGACCCAGGTTCTTCACTTCTATCTCCATCTCTCAGTTTAGCCCAATATAGCGGAGAGCAAGGCGGTCAGAATATTGGAAGAACGATATTCCGAGGTAACCAGGCCTTTCCCAAAAGAGTAAAACCAAAACAAAACAGCCGTACTTTTGTCATATTGACAGGACTCTGAGCATTGATGCTTTTGCATGTTGAAAAGCTATTAAAAGACATATGCTCAAGAACGAACACTTGTATAGTCATAGCTTTGAACAATTCTATTGCTTAGACAAAATATTTCACTGTAATTGTTCTCGTAATTCCATCCCTTGAGGCTGTTTCTGAGCTCGGTCACATAGCCCTACGTAGAATCGCGTGGCCTCCGAGGAATTCAACATAGTTCGGATAGTAGATGGGGAGCCGCATCAAGCTATTTGGGCATCTCTCTCGTTTGTTTGCTCGATCGCATTGCTAAATTTGGTTTTTGATGTGATGGCCACGTCGAGTGATGCAGGTAGCGTTGGCGCCGATCCTTAGCTCCCACACTTCTTTTCCAAACAAACCCCCCCCGAGTCAGACTCAGGTTCTCCCGCGCTTTCAACTTTTTGCGTTGCGATTTGGATTTAGTTTGGATTGTTCATACTTGCTGTGTGTTTTCTTCTTGGATTGGCATCTGAGTACCCTCCAAAGCACTGAGTGCCTGAGGCCTCAGTGCAACACTTGTCAGACTAATATGACCTGGCAGTTGACTCTAAACCGCGAGAACTTGTCCATCTAGGATTGATCCGGCAGATCAACCCAGTGTTGTAGCTAGTCTCTCGACCGACGCTGCGCTTCGCTGCACTCCGTCGCATATATATTAGCCCTATTGTCGCTCCGGGCTGATCCAACATGGACGGTCCACCACCGCCGCCGCCGCCGCATGGCGAAAATCCCCATACGACTGAAGGCGAATATCGCAAATCCTCGGACCTCCCGGATGGCAATTACGATATTTTCATCGTCCCACCTCACTCCGCTGGCGCGGGCTTCCTCTACCTTCCGTCGCTGCAGTGCAACCGAAACAGTTTCCTAGCGGGCGTCGCTAGCACACTTCTCGCATGTTTCGTGTGGTCGTACATATCCCCCATTGTGAAGGCATGGTACCTAGCCACGGTCGCTAGTGGCAGTGGTACGGGTATGGCGGTACTTGCAATTGGGGTGGGTGTCGCTGGATGGCTTTTTGGCTCGGCTCAGTCTGGCAGCTCGGGAGACAATAATGGCGGTGCTCGAGGTGGGAGGTTCGGATTTGGTGGCTTTGGTGGTGGTTCTGGGGGTTCTAGAGGCCCGGGTGGTCCTAGGAACGCCGGTCCAAACACCAACCAACAGTCGTCTGGTGCTAACTATGGCGGCAACGGGGCGGGTCAGCAAAGACAGCAGGGAGGAAACTTTGGTGGAGGACAAAACCACGGCAACCAATATTCCGGTAATCAACATGGCTCTGGTCCTCCTCCAAACTCTGATAATAACAAACGTGAAAAGGAGGAGGCTGAAAAGCGCGCCAAAGAAGAGCGAGCTAAGGAGGAGCGGGCTAAGGAGGAGCGGGCTAAGGAAGAACGAGCTCGGGAGCAGCGTGCTAAGGAGGAGCGAGCCAAGGAGGAACGAGCCAAGGAAGAACGAGCTAAGGAGGAACGAGCTCGGGAGCAGCGTGCTAGGGAAGAGCGTGCTCGAGAAGAGCGTGTTAGAGAAGAGCGCGTTAGAGAAGAACGAGCTAAGCAAGAGCGAGCCAGGGAGGAGCGCGCTAAGGAAGAGCGTGCCAAGGAGGAACGTCTCAAGGAGGAGCGCGCTAGAGAGGAGCGGGCTAGGGAACGGGCCAAAGAAGAAGCCGAACGAGAGCGAGCAAGAGAAGAAACGAGGCGCAAAGAGGAGCTACGTCGAAAGATGGAGGAGTTCAAGCGCAAGCGTGATGCAGAGGCCAAAGAGAAAGAGAAACAGCGCGAGCGCGAAGCAATGGAAAAAGAACTACAGGAACGCCGTGAGCAGCTCGAAAAGGAAATGGCCGCTGCAAGGGCCGCTGCAGAGAAGGAGGCACGCGATCGACTGGAGAAGGAAGCCGCAGAGGCCCGCGAGAGACAGGCAAAGGCCGAAGCTGAGGTGAAGGCGAAGGCCGAAAGGCTGGAAGCGGAAGCCAAAGAGAAGGCCGCGAAAGAAGCTGCCGAGAAAGAAGCTGCCGCAAAGGCCGCCGCCCAGAAAGAAGCCATGGCCAGATTTGCGGCCCTCAAGGAAGCAGCAAGCAAGAAATACGCCGAGAAGAAGGCGCAAGACGCGAAGAAAGAGGCCGCTGCCAAATCACCACCGCCTAAGCCAGCCAGTACTAGCAATGTGCCTCGCACACCTTCTCCCAAGAAACCACCGCCCTACCCAACCGCCAAAACTGCCAACGAAGACGATGCATACTCCTTTCGCCCCTACGACCGACCACGGCGGCCATATGCGGCTGGCACATCGGTGTACTCCGAGTCTTCATATACTCCTTCTCACTCTACTGCGCGCACAACACCTCCCCCCTCACATCGCAGTACATACTCCACGAAGGATCCAGATAAGATCGTGATCCAAGGTGTATACGCTTTCAACAATGCCTTTATGAAGACCCCAGTGGCGCAACTTGTATCAGGCCAGGGCATGGTCACCGATGGGCTGGTGCTGCGCATCACAACCGAAGGTCTCTTCATTGACGATGACCTACGCGGTATCGGCCAACGTGAGTGGGACGTCAAGGCATGGACCCTCAAGCTAGCGGAGGTGTGGTGCCCACAGGTAAACGCTACTCAATCCGCCAAAGCTGGGTCCAGCAACCCTTTCTCTTTCCGTCGTGGGAACAACGTTCCCACCAACGAAGAATCAGAGGCCTTTCTTGGCAACTTGCTCAAAGTATGCAAGAACACTTGCCGTCTGGCTTCGCCCAGTACGTGCTTCGCGCGCAGTGCGACTGCCAGCCATGACGGTGGTCCTGTTCACCCGCCCCAGGCGGAGTCCCGTGGTTTGCATGTTCTCCGTGCTAGTGTTCGTGACCAAGAAGGCAAAAAGTATGTCTTTGTGTTGCAGGATACTGAGGCCTGGAAGGTCGCCATTGGTCTCCAGCGGCTCCGGGCTGGTGCTCTGGTCCGCGCGCTGGGTGTCTCCGCTCTTCCGGTCCCTGAATGCAAAACTATGCTCAGTGCTCTCGGTTATGTTTGATTGAAGACTTGTTATGCCAGCGTTCTTTTTTTCTTGCATCTTCTTTATATTCACCATTTCTCTATATATGCCTCTTCTTGTGTTCGATTCGACTTGAACGTCATCACCCATTAGCGGCGGAGTTTGCTTTATGCTCTTCTGTCCGGTATATTCATTCGCTATTCTTGTCTTCATCACCCCTTTTTTGAGATTCCCCCGATTATTTGTTTTATATTTACTAGTACATTTGTTCAGCATGTTGAGGAGAAGTACATACCACAGAACATTACGATTGCTTATATTGTTTATTATGAATACATAGCATGACCAACCCTTCTCTAAGACAGATGCGAAATGAGTGAACTATATTCTTGCACTTGACGGCAGCGGACGAATAGAGCAGAGATGATATATTCGGATATCGGCGCAATCCATCCTAAGAAAAGCAATTCAAACCCAAGCTTTTCGTACTTTCTCTAGTTATATGTACTTCGCTAGACCCATTCCACGATCACAACGTATTCGCGAGTCCAGAATCAATGAAGACTTATCACATTTCAATAGACTAGAATTGGCATCTTGTAATGGAAACCTACTGCCAATTGGCGCTCAGGTTGGTTAAAGATGATGGTCCTACAAGCTCACCCGCCCCCGGTCGAATGCCGTCTCGTCGACTGCTACGTTTGTGATGAGGAACGGATAATTTTGTATGATAGCCTTGACTTTTTCTCAAATTGGATGCACCTTGGAATCATGGACTAATTACGTTACCTATGTGAGTGAGGTATAGGTACTAAATCCATGTATGCATCAGTCGTCACATAGCTACGGAGTATAAGAAAATGAATCATATCTGAGAGAAATGTTTGCTTTATGGGAATCATGCAAGCGTATACGCCGCATATGCTTTTTCGGCTATATGAAAACAAGAGTGGCAACCTCACAAAGTGCATCGACAGCCAAAACATCTATGGATGCGAAGCAAATCTCTAAGTCAAAGTCAAGAGCGAAACCCCACCAGAAGAATAAGACAATAGACAAACGCCGAAAATGATTAATCGGATGTAGATCTTGTAGGTCTTCTGTGCACATGGATTTCAAACCCCATTGTCCATAAATGCACTGTTCTCGTATATTCAAATCCAGATTGCAGCACTTCGTGTACAAAAATTCTCCGAAAGAGGCCATAACGGGGGCAAAGGCAAATGGCGGAAGGAAAGATTAGACCGGAGAAAAAAAAAACTTCAAATCTATCATATCGGGAATCATATGGCGTCTCCGCAGAAACATGGTGAAAAAAAGTCGTGATATGGCAGTTTGCAAAAAATCGAATCCCCAAAATCCAACAGATCAATGTGATATTGAGGTGCAACTCCAACTCCGGTCGAGGACATGCGAACTCCTGTTTTGGGGGTTCGTCATCTTGGGACGAAAGAAAGAATCAGTGGTATCGAGTAAATAGAACGGGTTAGACGGCTTCATCTAGAATTGGAAGCTGGTGCCGCCTTGAAACTGGGCACCGAAGGGGTTGCCGCCGCCTCTAGCGCCGCCGTTCATCATGTTTTCAAACTGGAAAGGCATGCCGCCGGGGAAACCACCGGGGAAACCGCCACCGCCGTGGAAACCGCCGCCGCCGAACATATCAGCCGGATCCCTCAGATCATCTCCGTTATCGAAAGCAGCACGTTTCCTGAAAAAAAAAAAAAAATTAGTTTTGTGTCGAATGGCGTCAAAACTTGTGGCGGACTTACTGAGGATCGATCAAATTCTCATAGGCTTCGCCAATTTCCTTGAACTTCTCATCGCCCGCTGCGCCGTCACGGTTCTTATCTGGGTGGTATACAATAGCCAGCTTGCGGTAGGCCTTCTTGATTTCCTGATCGCTGGCATCCTTGTCGACTCCCAAAATCTTATAGTAGTCCTTACGTTGGGACTTCTTCAGCTCGAATTCAGCTTCGCGGATCTCCTCCGCAATGCCGCTCTCGCCAGGGTTGTTCTCAGCAACGCTCTTATAGTCACGGACAGCCTCCTCCCAGTTACCGGCCTTGCCGTTGGCCTTGGCACGGCACTTCATAGCCTTGACATAGCTGGGGTCGAGACGGAGAGCTTCAGTGCAGTCCTGGATGGCAGAGTCAAACTCCTTCAAGTTGATGTAAGCCTGAGCACGGTTACCCATAATCTTGGCATTCATATCCTTGTTGGAGGGGTCGACCTCGAGAGCCTGGGTCCAAAGATCGATAGCACGGCGATAATCCTTGGCCTTGAAAGCAGTGTTTCCTTCCTCCTTTGTGCGAGCCAGTTTCTGCACAATGCGCAGCAGCTTGATGGCCTGCTTCATGTCTGGGTCCAGCCCGAGGCAAAGCTTCAGAAGCTTCTGCGCCTGCTCGGTCTCTCCGAGGGCATAGAAGGCGCGGGCACGGATCATCATCGCATCCGGATCCTGGCTGTTTTCGCGCAGCAAGGAAATTGCAATATCCTGCGCCTTGCCCAGTGAGTTGACGTTGTTCAGCTTCAGGTGGGCCTCGGCGGCCAAAAGTGTCCACTTGCGGGGCTCCCTGACGCCTTGTCCAAGCCCTTGTCGTGCCTGGTCTAGACAATAGATTACCATTGACACGCCGCGGTCTTCTGCTATTGTCTCTTCGGCTTGTGTAACGAAGCGCAGCATCTTCTCTGCGGCCGCCCGGTCGGTGGCGGCCACTGGTGGCTGGATGCGTGACAGCACCTCTAGGGCCTCTGCAGGTCGACCCAAGCTCGTCAGAATCTTAGCCCATCGGTGCATGATCTTTGGGTTGTTAGGATCGAGCTCGTTGGAGCGCTGAACATCCTCAAGCGCATTCACAAATTGTTTGGCGGACATGTAGGCGGCCGCTCGGTTAGAGAGATAGGCCGATGAGTTAGGATTGATCTCGATGGCTGCAGTAGACAAAAAATCATCAGCGACCCCGCTCATTCAAGGCTAATTTATGAGACACGGCGTCCCTGTGAGATAAGAAAATGCATACCCTTAGTGTATTCTTCGATAGCCCGTCGATAGTTGCCATCCTTGAAGAACTTGTTTCCGGCCAGCTTGAAGGAGTCGGCCTCGTCGGCAGAAGCTGAGTTAGGCTGGTGCGGTGGCGGGGTCGGACTCCGCTCCTCAGTACCATTCACGCCATTACTCTGAGGTTCCTGGGGATCAATGTCCATTGAGCTCCGCTGCTCTTCGTTGGATGCTGCCATAGCGGAGAGTCGACGACGTAGCTCGTCGGGTGGAAGATTGAGTGGGTGTATGTCCTGGTCACGCGAAGACCGGGCAAACTTGAAATTTGCGGTTGGTCCGGAATTGGAGGACGACCGACTATGAGAAAAATAGGATTGTTTGGAAGACTTGGAGGGTTTGGTGGGTTTGGTGGGGGAAGAGGATTTCGAGGGAGATTTGGTAGATTTAGTTGGGGATTTGGAGGGCGACTTCGGAGATGGAGATGTGCGGGAGAAGGAAGATCGGGATGAACGTATATCAGGGTTCTTCTCGGTCTTCTCCTTATCCTTATCCTTTTTGAAGATGTGGGCGAGTTGGACCATCGGGGGTGGGGAGGGTCGTTTTTTTTTTTTTCTAATCGAAGGCGGTAGAATCGGGGAGATTCCCAGGTATGAACCACGGATGGAGGGACTTGGGAATATCAACTTCGGACTTTTGTAACCTCAACTTTGAAGGAGATTTTCAATTCAAGTCTGAGCCATGTCTTGTTTCACTCTTTAATCCCTGTCATATTAATCTCAGAAAAGAAAAAAAGGGGATATTGCGGACTCGGGTTTGATAGCCTTGGATGTTTAATGGGGTGAAAACTAGACCGAGAAATTCGTCGGGCATGTCCTCTTATAATATATATTATTTTTTCTATTCTATCATATGTCCCATCTTTGCTACTGGCTGGCAAATAATCCAGAGGCTGGTGAGCTGCTGGTCTGTGTTAGCGCGCAAAAGAATTGGAGCAATGGAGTCACTCATTCCTCGACCGGGATGATGCCCAGCCGCGAGGGGAGAAAAAAAACAAGTCGAAGTGATTCGAGAATCTTCCATCTTCTTACTTTCGCCCTTCAGTCCTATCGCCCCCTCAACGGAACCTGCAGGGGTGGTTAGCGAGGCTGTCGATAACTCGAGGTGGAGCGGTGGATCCAACATGCAGTTTGCTAGTTTCCTATGCTGACGGGTGACGGACATACAGCAGTGCCGTGACTGGCGTCTCAGAGAGGGGAGCCCCTGCATCGGACTCTATATTACTCACACTATTACTCATACTAATGTTGTCTGGCCAATTTAGCTACATCTCGGCTCTCCCGTGCGGGGGGTATACATATATCGAGTCTTGGCTCCATTAGGACTCGTCTGATATACAAATGTCTCTTGTGGGCGAAACATAGGTGAATACCTGTCTTACAGCGTTATCACATAGGTCTGATTTACCAAAAAGAAGTTGAAAAATAGGAATAGAGCGAGGCAAATGGAAAACAAGTAATATAAGGCCTAGTGGACTAAAGAACTTGAAAGGAGCTACAACATATAAGGGATGTCAAATGGGTACACCATAGAAAGTGAAAGAAGTATAACAGCAGAATGATAAACTCTGTTGCTAACTCCAAGGCTATTCCATCGAGATGTCTATGCCCTTAGAGCTAAAAGGTTGTTGTCATCCAGCTCACGGAATTCTTACAGTTAATCATTTCGTTCTTACACTATAAAAGATCTATATCACATTAGCAGATCAATATTGAAAGCTCTCTTATTGAATTTGATATTGCCTAGTGGAGATGGATATACCCTGTTCCGCCGATAGCGCATTTCCATCTAAAAGCCAATCTTAAGAGGAACCAATAACAGGCGACCCTAACGGCTTTGAAAGACATTTTATATTTAATACAATTCTCGGATTCTACTGGACCAATTTCTCACTTGGCCATAGTATCGACAAGCTAACCTCTCTAAGGCGCTACTGCTCAACAGCCCAGGATTGCCGACCAAAAATCACCTCCCGGTCAAGAGTAACGATCCCACCACGAATGAGTTCGAGCCACTTGCACAAATCGGCCTCGGCGTAAGCCAAGATTGTAGTCGTGCTAGCAGTGCTAACCGGGACCGGGACCGAGATACAAATCAAGCCTAGGTTATGCATTGCCGATGCGCTCACGATGGCTCGCTGGTTCCGGACGTTATGAAGCATATGTAGCATGATATCTTCATCGCTATGGTTATCTTCCATTTCTTCAGGAATAATCACGGTGATCCAGTGAGCTTCGTGGTTGTCCGGATCCTCTAGAAGCTGAGGGCCGACCCGGTTTTCATCCTCATACTCCTCCAAGTCGTCTAAATACTCAGCGGGTACGATAAATACACTGTCCTGTCCCATGTTGGTTGAGATGGTTTAAGAGGTTAGTGGATTGAATAATACTTGGATATAGATGCTTTTCTGTCCAACGAGCCTGAGAGCAGGTCTCTTATATAGTGAACACCCAGATACAATGGAATGCAGACTTGGGTGGAAGCAAAGCCTCTTTATTGCCATAATAGCCTTGTCCCGTCTTTGATCGAGTCTTTGTACACTTGGTTTTCGTGTTTCCTTTGTTTCCCTTTGTATCCACCATCAAAGGTCTCCTCGGTATGCATATAGTAGTGGGCAAAAAGGGCAAACTCCCAACGCTCGATGTATATGATAACGGGGTGGAGTTCCGACACCTATCAAATACACGGATATTACTATCCTTCTATTTCGTCATCTTGTGACAGAAGATGGAAAAAGTACTCGTGTCGAGTCAAGATGAGTTGGATGCTTTCGTCTAGAACGAAAAACCGCCGTAACGGGGGGCATGGTAGAGATTTTTGTTTCTCGATGTGCCTTTTATACTCCCGGAGGTGGCGAGAGGAAAGAGACAAATTCTTAAGACTAGATATGTGGAATACAGCTTCATAATTTGAAATCACGATACCCCTGAACCATTGGGGGAAATTAGCCAACCCAAGAGTCAGACAGCCTGAGATCAAACCTGAGGAAAGTTATCACAATTTTCTCCATAAGCAGTTCTCAGGTTATTCTACAGAGAGCTGTTTCAGAGGGAAGCCAAAACTGCTTCGCTCAATGCTTATCTCTCTAGCCTCTATTCATAGATGTGTGAGCCAAGCCCCGAACCAATATATTCCCATGACATATCAGAAAAGCTACAACGCCAACCAAGCCATGCGATATCACGCTCAATCACGCCCAATTCCGCCGATCCTGCATCCTTCGGGTAGTTGCAACCCAGCTGGAAACCCTATCATCTAAATCTGTATCATGTGTTCGACCAAAGCTGTGTCTATCATAGAGCGGGGGCTGGCTCAGCAGATTCTCCTGACAAAGGCGATTATTGTAATCGATGTGCTCGTCAAGGCGCTGGAAGACATCCTGCCATGGTGTAATTGGTGAAATGGGCGAAATGGGCGAGACTGCCGATCGAGTAGACGCTATATCATCTTGGGTCCGAGTTTCATGTGTAGGTGGCATATATATCTCTCCAACAATCCATTTCTTTTCATCTTCGAGCCAAGTGAGGGGCACACAGCTTCTTGGTCGTACAGGAGGATGTGGAGTGTGTTGTATACGTGGGCGCACCTCGCATTCATATCGTGAATCACGGTTGGGAGACAGTTGGTCCGATGGATCGCGCATACATCTACGGGCCGAAGCCCGCCTTAGATTGCCACCGATTGTAGAGCGATCGGGTGGCCAGTCGTGCATTCCGTTACTTTGTTGTTTTGGCGAGATAGGGTCCGTCGAAGCAGGCCTCGCTGGCAAAGGTTTTGAGAGCAAATATTGAATGGAACGCGAGTTTGTATGGATACGAGGAGTTGTATCTTGCGGAACAATGAATTTTGGATTAACCATCGGCGCGCCTTCGAGGGATGAGAGATCCATGAGGGGATAGTTGAAGTCCGAGGGTGGTTTGGGAGGCTCGGAAGCTCGTCGCTGAGATGAACAGAAAACCATTGTGCGGTGCAATACCCGGTAGAGATTTTGACAAGTAGATCATATATCGTATCGCTTGGTATACTATCTTTAGACACGAACTATACTCTGAGAGGGTTCGATAGTGGACCGGGAAGGGCTCGTACCCAAAGACAGAATATAATAGAACTTGGCATGAAAGCCTCCTTCCTAGGGCGGATAGGTCTAACAGGGCAACCCCTCTTCCCCGGAGGAAGATAATACATGTTGTGCAGGGTATACACAAAGGAGCAAATGAAAGGATCACAGGCAGTTCGGTAACGCTCTTAAGGCTAAGAAAAACATTTGAACACTGGTCTTTCATTGTTCTTACCTGTCCATCGGGTATCCCGAAGTCATCACTGAAAACCAATTACCCAAAAGCGAAAACAAACAGCCCTTTTCAGGACAATGGTCATGGAGTCCCACAAGGATAAAACAAAGGATATCAAGAGAAGCCCACCATAATCCCAGATTGAGTTAGTTGCTCGGGATACAATTTGGGGTCCAAATGTATCCACACAGGGGTTATGCATTCATTCTCACTACAATGGTGTTAACTTACTATGTTCGGGGTTTTTAATGTGTCTTGGGAAAGCAGAAACGGGGCTTGTACTAAAACCAACATTGGAACTGCCGAGATCCGTATATTGCATTGAGAAGAGGCCGTAGTCCCAACATCCTCATATTCAGGGCTCGGATACGATATGTGAAGTCTGAGATCAATCGCGGGTGCCATATACTGCTTTGCTTATTTTCTTTTTTCGTTTACTTGGATTTGTCTAAGTAGCATTAAAGAACACTTGATTCGAGATTGAGAGGCCGCTGATCCTCAATTAACAATGCAACTTCCGATTCAGCCACTGGGCTCGGGAATAGCGGGGGTCTCTATTTTTGGCTGCCAATCGTTTACTTCATACAGCGTTTATGATCATCTCCGTATACAGGAATAGTGGTTTATACGACCTTGTCATGTCTACGGGGTATTTTAGTGGTCTCTAGATCTGTGGGATTTTTTTTGGAATGTATTTTTTTTTTAATATATTCTTTCCTCTTATTAGTGCTGTATTTAGAAGGGATAGTTAAGAACAATTAGCTGCAAAATATCCGGGTGGTGAAAACTGTCGAATTTTCCATATATAATATGTGATATCGTAGTTATTTACATTGTACTCCATACTCTATGCTTGAATGACACTGAGCTTGCAAGTGTCTAGAAGGGGAGACTAGGAAAAACTCATCGGTGACAGCAAACAAAAAGAACGCAAGGAGATCGAGGGGAGTATTAATCAATAAGACACAGTAGTCGCCATTGAGAAACACGTGTGTTAGGCACCTTGACCGACGTGTTAGACGCTAACTTGGGCTTAGTGTGCATCCAAGACCATAGTATATATATCCTCAATAAAGCTGATTTAAATCATGGAAGAGTATTGCGATCGTGAGGCTCATCTGTTCAAATACAAGTATGAACTTGCGATCAGAACCGACAATGGTTGGATTAAGTATTTCGTTTTGAATTTTGAATTTCAGCCACCCAGTTGGCTTTGCGATTGTAAGTGGCATATTCAGCCCTAGGAAGTACAAGATTTGAAGCACGTGGAGTCAGGGGCAGGGATAGAGGAAATACTCAAGGGTTATCTACCAAATAATAAATACTTATTTCCATGATTAATCCTCTCATGGACTCCACTACGAGATTTTAAAATAAACATGCTTAGATGGTAATTCATATAAAACTATGTAATTATAAATGTGCAAAATGAATACATTCCAAATAGGCTACGGGCGCTGGAGAGAGGGAGAATGTGAAAAGCTGTCATGGTTTACATTAAGGTCGTGCTCAAGCCACCAAGCGAGCTTCGCACAACTCCGAAGCTATCCAGGAGAGCCCGAGAAGAAGTAAAGAGAAATATGTATATCAAAAAAAAGCAGAAAAAGGATAGGCATATCCAGTCAGAAAGCAACAATTGTTAAGAGTAAATCACCAGAAACCCTAAATAACACAATCCTCATCTCGCACCAACTCTAATCAACATCTCCAGTTTGACACAACTACGCCAGGGCTAGACCCAGGGGATCCAGCTAGGTACAGAAGTGCATCACCAATCCGGAAGAAGTCATTTATGCCAGGAAGAAGGCGGCGGCGGCGGCGGCACCGGCGAAGCCGAGGGAGCCGCTGAGAGCACCGGCACCGTTGAAGGCAGGGGAGGAGGTGGCGGGGGTGGTAGAGGCAGTGCCAGTGGGAACACCCTTGGTGCTGGAGGGCACGTGGGGGACACCACCGGTGGGGCCGTGGGGGACGACGCTACCGCTGCCGACGGGGGCGGAGCTGGGGCCGACGGGGACGGTCGAGTAGATGACGGTGGGCACACAGGTGGTGATGGCAATCACGGTGGAGGAGACAGGGGCAGTCTCAACGGGGGCAGGGGCGGTCTCAGCGGGGGGAGCGGGGGCGCTGGAGACGCTGGAAGGAGCCCAGGTGGGGACGGAGGACCAGGCAGGGGTCTCAGCAGACCAGGCGGGGGTCTCGGAGGACTGGACGGGGACCTCACCAGCGGGGGTGGTGGCAGCGGCGGGGACGCTGGTAGGAGTGGTGCTGGCAGTGGGCTCAACGCCGGCACCGCTGTTACCGGGGCAGTCGGTGACGGTGGGAGCGCAAGAGGTGATGGTAACCTCGTCGGTCTCGTAGACGGTCTTGTCAGCACCGGGGGCAGCAATGGCCAGGCCGGCGAAGAAGGCAATGGAGACAGCAGTGAAACGCATTTTGAGTGTTTATGTACGAAAAACGTAAAAAAGTGATGTTCAAAAAGGTATATATAAAAGCGGAGCTTTTGAAAGAGAGTGGTTTTTAAAGAGTGGAAGACCGAAGTCGATAGAGAGAGTGAATTTGCGAAGAATGTACTTGGAGAAAAGAAAGAAACAGAAACAGCACGGGGGAGGCAGGGGGCCTTTGTATGAACGGGGAGATTAGTGTCAAAGATCAGCAGCCACTTGCTTCTCGTTGTTTTGGCCCATTTTGGGAGACCCTAAAAAAGGGGAAAAGAAACAAAGACCGTTGGTACAGGGTACATAATCCACCACTAACACACACCGCAACCTGCCATGTACTAGGAACTTGACCCTCGCACAGGTCTTCATTTATTCAATTATATGATTGGTTCGATTGCCAGGGGTTATTTCTCATTACCAGGTTGGCTTGTAATTTTGACCCGCTCATGTTTCTAGCGTTATATGACGATCGAGACATTTGATATTGGGTATTAAAATGGCTACGGAGTATGTATATTAAGGCATATATGTAAAAATTACATGGCAATACTACTTTACATCTTCTCTCTTTCTCCCTTTCTCTCTCTCTCTGTCTTTTTCAGACAAGTTTTTCTTTTCTATCGATGTTTCAGACCGCATCGCTGATCCACTACCCGTTCCTGACGTCCCAATTGTAACATTTCCCCCCGTGGGTCTCTTTCATCTCCACTTACCCCTGAATAGCCCGCCATTTATTTCGCCAAGAGAGTGTATTGTGTAAGGGCGAATCCACGATGATGTGCACTTTACTTGCGAAATGGGATTGGTTCTTACTCCGGACGTTCATCTCAACATGGAACTCAAAACAATCTCTATTACTGCGTCGGAGCGAAGCGCCGAGACATCCTTTGTATTATTACTTACGGAGTACTCCGTACTGTCTTTACATTACCTTTAAATTTCTATTATATTCAAATATTATGTACATCCGATTTCTGTATTGTGTTTGGCATATCATCGAGACTTTATGTGCTGATTTATTCCGGCATACTAGAAGAAATGCCTCTTACTACTCATGTAACCGCTGTAATATCATAAAACTCGGCCAATTTTACTAAAACCAGCCGATAAGCCCGGGGAACGCCACTGCTCGACAGTTACTCCGTACGGCGAATTGCCCCCGCAACGGAAAAGTCTCGCTTCACGCCATAACGGCTAGACCGCATTATTTTAGTTCCGGGTACAGTGCTTGACGATGCTTGCATCTCGTGCCCCTGTTCTAGGCAATGTGGGAGTCAATGCTGCGTAATTTGAGAAAATATCAGGGTCTAGCCGTGTGATTGGGCGTCCCTGACATGGCGCATATGCAGTATTTTTGAATTTGTTACACTGGCCAGCCGTACAGTCGATTTGTCTTTCTGTACGCCGTACGGAGTATCTGCTTACGGAGTATACGTACCCTGGAATAGGTACGGACAGTGTGAACCTGTAGCGTCAAAGCGTGTTGATCTTCATCCTGTTCCTGAGCCGAGACCCTGGGTCAGACTCTCGAAGCGGTTCGATATATGTATGCTGCATAACCAATGAACGTTTCGCCCGGGTTTATGCCTTTAACTTTGAACTTGGCTGTGCCGATTCTATGATAGTGCCAACTCCATTATAGGGGTTTCTCACACAATGCGATTTCCGTAGGCCTCGTGGCGCCCCCAGACTCCACATGCCGCTATTGAATTCTTGCGCTTCGCCCCTTTTTCAATAGATCGGGTCTATTCTATTCCAACGTTATATGGTCGTGCTCTTATAACCCCATACTCATCTTGAGTACTATCTTTAGCTACAATTAGCTTTGTATTTAATTATCGGTGGAGTGTGTTTTATATATAGCACAACGTCGAACCGTTAATGATAGGGGTGTTCGTGGGATAATGATTTGAGTGGACCTGGACTTTTTCCGAAGTTCATCCTCGCCTATCGTATGGGATGTCCCTTCCTCATTTGAGGTCCCTGAATTTCTGTTCAGGGGAAGCTTTGGCCTCATCTCACCGCTCATACCGCATTCTGGGAGTCTATGAACATACCCTCTTCACATTTCTCAACATTTCCCTACCATTGCACCATGAGCAAGAGCGATGTCAGATCAAAACATTGATTGACGTACCATTGAACTAACTCTCTACGGCTTAATGGCTGGAATGTTGATATGAGAAATTCCATAGGGCTTGTTCCCCTTCACAAAGCACCGACAGACCTACGTTATAGGATGATATCTTTAGCGCCCACGCAAGGTATCAATTCCACATGCGAGACTGTCCTCACCTGCCACTCCGTCACATCGATAACCCAACGCAGAATCCGATTTTATGTGATCGCCATCAACAATCACCTATCTGTCGCCTAACCCGACCGATCAGCATCGACACGTCATTTTTAGCGCTGATGACACAAGCGAGCGGCACCGAGAAGAATAATACAAAAACTCGTTAGGTTTATTCCTTACTCCACTCCGTATGGAATCCAGATACACAACATAAAATCTTTTCGTACAACTTGAACGGGCTCGGTGGTACCTTGAGCTCATACAATATAGCCTGTTTTGAAAGGATCGGAAGAATTCGCTGCTCCGCGCGCTGCCTTTCAAATGCGACGTTACAAATCTCTCGATGATCATGGATAGATGATTGCCATGGCCTTGTATTAGTTCTATTATCAGCATAGTCATCCTTGAAGAGCCGGTGAGACCGAAGCTGGGCTGGGTCTCCCATCTCTATCACACAGCGAGGTTCTTGGCTACCCCTCGGGTTGCTTTTGAATGATCACTGGGACTGCACTATGAGGATTATTAGTATAAACAAGCTTTGAGAGACAAGTACACGAATTTGTTGGACATTTTCATGATATTGTTTTCATATTAGCTAGGTCAGACATCAATCAATATCAACTATTCCACTGTGTGCCGATCGCGTTTACGTTGTACGTAGTATATATAACAACTGCATCTGCGGTCTCCGGCTACCTAGACCTCGTCGGGACTAAAACTGCGTCGAGATTTACCGGGCGCTTGCTTAACTGAACACGATTTGTGGTATCCAGATCCATCTCATCTATGGGACTTGGCACCGGCTCTCCGGCGAGAATCAGGTCTACTTTAGATCACAACCTTTCTAATTAAACGGTCGTAGCAGTATGTATCTCCATAAATCCTTTTAACGCCCAAATTTCGGAAAAAAACCAGTGACACTGCGGATCGGCTAGGGCCGATGTCATCATCGGGTGCGTGGCCACAGGCTAAGCCACACCTTTCCGGATAGAATCTTAGCCTTATAATTAGCCCTGGAATTAGCTTGGAATCAGCCCCTCAATGACATATTTACAGGTTAATCTAGTTTTTTTATATATTGCAATATAACTGGATACAATTGGATGGATATAATTGCATCGAATACGTTAAGTACTTCTGTAAGGTACAGGGCCTGTGATAGGTTTTAGGTGGGGGATCTTGTATGTGCTGGTAATGTCAATGCCACAGTTGGGTAATTGCGGCTCCAAGGCAACAACGTAAGTTTACATATAGTAGATATCAAGTTTGTCTTATATTCTACTAGATATATAGGTACATTGAGGTGAAGATATATGTATGTAGGTATCTGCACATGTGTACATGTGTACATGTACAGCGATATAAAAATCGAAAAAGGGGATAGAAATGTGAACCATGGTACTTGGAGAATTCTCTGTTGATATTCCCCCAAAGCAAAAGAAATATATCAAATCAACATATACAACATATAACATATAACAGTCAAAAATTAGATATAATTGTTACTTGTAGACAATGTTTCAGTTCAGGCGCCTTCTGAAACACAAAGGCCCCACCACCGCCCAACTTCTGTTGTCGGCTGTGTCGCTCTATTAATATTCTCTAGAGATCAAGAGTTTTCAAACGCTTAAACACTATTAGACAATTACTTGACATATACTAAATATACGAAGGATTCCTTTATTTCTTATATGGTGGAGTAACAGGTCACCTGCCGCATCTCTCGGTAACTTCCAACTCCACTCGTTTGTTCTCTCTACCTTATCTCTTCGGCTTCTGCTTCTGCCTCTACTTCTGTCTTTGCCTTTGCTTTTACTTCTGCTTTTACTTTCTGCATATTTTGTTCACTCCAATCCGTCATTTTCCCCTCAGGACTCCCCAAGGCGGACTGGTCCAAGGTCGACACTGTGGCTACTCTCGCAGATCCGAACGAGTTGTTCTTGCCTGGGGAAAGGCAAAACAATCTCGCCATGTCGTCCCCTGTTCCTCTTCTTCGTCCGCCAGTTCCTGGCGCTCGCAACAATAATGGCAGCCCACGAGCCCCGAAGCTCACGTTAGGCATCCCCCCTCACCTAACGCCAAACCCGTCAACGGCAATGCCGCCCCCGCTCAAGTACCTCAAATCCAAACCCAACCCCAACCCCAGCCTCGCCCGTCCGGTCGACCAGCACCACCCCGACTGCATCTCGCGACTCCCATGGGCAGCCAGCAGAATGTATCCCAGCCAACCCTCATGCCAAACGGTCGACCAGCCCCGCCCCCACTGAGTACAAATGGCCTAGGAGGTGGAGGTAAAAGTGTGCCCAGTCTACAAATCCAGACCAATGGACCGGCCTCTTCAAACCCTTCATATTCGACGATTAATTTCGCCATGGGTCTCCGACAGCCGGAAGGCTCGTCAGATCCGTCCTCGGCCATTAGTTCAGTGTACTCAGATCGCGAGAACGGAGACCGTGAAAGCAACGTGAACGGCCTCCTTCCCGATCTAGACAAACTGAGCCTGGAAAAGGGCCGGCCCCTCGACGTGGATGATCTTGATGATGAAGGCTGGCACGCGGCCAGTGAGCAGAATATGATTGTTGAACTAGGGAGTCTGGGAGAGGGTGCTGGCGGAGCCGTCACCCGATGCCGACTCAAGGAGGGAAAGACCGTTTTTGCATTGAAGGTACGTCGCTTTGACTGATCAACTTTTGTACCT